TGGTACCCTTTACCCCCTTTTTTGTTTATGGTTTCCCTTATAAGATATGCTACCAAGAGACTTTGCACCCTTCAAGAAGGGAAGTGCGCCTGAATTGTCAGTATATCAACCCGGAGACCCTGAGACCCTACTTCGTCAAGGTACAAGGTTGGCCGAGGTAGTACTGGGTTTCGGAGTACTATACTTTAATACTTTTTTTGGTTCTGGGTTCATACTATAGCTACTTATACCAGTACTTACTTTTTTTTCCAAGGTCTTCTCCAAAGTAGGGATCACATCCCTCAACTTCAAGGACCAAGAGATCGAGAACCTCGCCAGACCCACGCCGGGTGATGAGGACCCGGGGTCTTTACCTCCAGGCACCTATGTAGTTCCCTTGTTGAGGTGGTATGCTAGAATCCCCTGCAGCAAAGTGCAATCTTTTTTTGCTCTATGTAGTACCTTTTTGACCCTGACACTGTTGACGGTCATATTCGATGCATTCTGCCTTGTTCGATAATTCGATCATTTTCCATACTGCATCAAGAACATGTCAGCTCATGCTCCCCCCAAGACGTTGAAGAAAGCAAGACACAGAGCCGTCCAGGAGTTGGTGTGGACAATGCTGTGAAGTTTTAGGTTTGAAGCCTCATCCTTGGAGTTTAACGTACAGGTTTATCGCAACGGCAGCGGCAAGGTCAGCATTAAAAGAGTTCGAAGTCAGAAACAAGCGAACGGGAGGGGGTGTTACTATAGTCTTCCTTTTTTGTTTTTAGTATGTGTGTGTATACTGGATACGAAAAGGGAAGGTGAAAAGGATGCCACACAACGGGTCAGACTTTCAACCCTATCCATCAAACGTTTGGTTGAGGGTTTGGGCCTTGGGTTGTGGGTTTCGGGTCCATGCCAACCCCGGTTCGGGCCATGTTTGTTCTACATCAGTGTCCCGTGCCGGGAACCGTTAATGCAGCATTCCCCACATAAGCTTCAGAAAAGATTCTTTTGCACAACAATCTAGCTATTCTCATTCTGACAACGATGATCGTATCACCCCACTGGGCACTTCTGGATCCCAGGTACGAAGTGCAGATGGCAATCCCGAAAAAAAAGGCGGCTGGTTTCTATCCCTACCTTGCTGGCATCCCAGAACCTTATAAGACCTGCGCCTTAAGGGTTTAGGGTTTCGGGTTTAGGGAAAACCCTAATCCTGAAAGACCCCGAAGTCCCAAAAGCGCCCGCAGGAGCTTTCCGAGATCGTGCCACTGCCTGGCGCTCCTCCTTTCGCGAACGTGAAGCCCCCGAAAAAGAGACCTGCTTCCATGTGTCTCGGACAGACGGTTCAGGGTTTAGGATTAAGGGTTCAGGGTTTAGGGTTGAGGGCCTGATTGAACCCTCGGCTTTCAATCAATCCTACATCCTAAAAACGCCAAAGCCCCATGAAACGCATATGGCCCATGCGCCCAAAGCCCGCAAGAGATAACCCTTCAGCACAACGATTGCGTGCATGCAAGGGGGAATGTCTGAAGCGTCCACACCTACCGTGTGTGTCGAGCTCGTCTCCCATGGTTCTCAGCATTTTTTTCAAGTTCGCAAATCTCAGCAAACCCTCTGCCCAAGCCATGAGCAGGGTGGATCTGGCCCACAAAGAGCATGCGAAGATCATGGATGACTTCAATCTTGACCAGCTCCCAGCCGGGACTAAGGGGACTTGAGGCCAAATTGTTGAGTAAGCATCGTCCTTTGTGAACGAAGGCTTGAGGCATGCAAGCTTGCCACTTATGGAGGTCTTCAGGATATGGTTTCCTGCTGATACAAAACCTACTTAAACAGGAAGAAGGCCTCTGATGTTGAAGCCGTATTTGCAACAACATAATTCTGAGCAAACCTGTGAAACCATGGACAGTGCTGATGCAAAGTATTGTCAGGCCAGTCTTTGGGGATTGGCCTTGCCCAAGCCCACGAGAACACACTGGCACCTTACCTAGGCCCCAAACCTTAATATGCGAAGGTAATTGTGATGCATTATTTTGAGAAGTAGAAAATCATTCAATAGCCTTGATTAACACGGGAATTTTATCACATAGCACCAAAAATTAGACAAGCAACTAGCGAACATGGACATTGGGGTAACATGATTGTATGAAGCAGTAAAATGTATTCGGGAATAAAACTGACGATTATCATCAAGTATATTATCAGAGGCAGTTCGGTACACTCCTCTACCATCCCCCTCCTTTCTAGCAAAAGAGGAGCCGCCATCGTGGGGTTTAGGTAAGCCGTACAACCCCCCGACCCCAAACCTTATGATCCAAGCAGTATTAAATATAGTACTAGAATGCTATAGTAATACTATACTGGTACTATATAGTACTGTAATACCATATATATATATGTATAGATAGATAGATATATACATATATATATACTAGCACGATAAACTCCAGACAGGCATGCCACTGTCAGTCCAAGCACGACGGCGCGTCAGCGAACGGACGCCGCGTCGAACTTGTTCAAGAGGGTGCGGCCGTGTGTGCCGCTGTGCCGAATTGTTGCCTCGGAGGGTTTAGGGTTTAGGGTTTAGGGTTTAGGGTTTAGGGTTTAGGGTTTAGGGTTTAGGGTTTAGGGTTTAGGGCCTAAGGTGCAGTAATGGTAATTAGAGCGGGGTTTCATGCTAGGCCCCGGATGAACAATCTAGAGAATTGCACATGGTCTTCTTAAGCAACTTGTCCCGGCGGCTTCTCTTCACCTAATCCCCACCCTAATTTTCGCCTTCTCCAAGCGAGCGGCCAGACTAGCTCGGGTTGACGCCCCCCCCGCCCTCCTCCTCCTCCCCCCCACACCCGCCCTTCCGCCCATTACCCCGCAAATTCTCAAACAGGTTTTGCTGAACTGCATGTGCAGTTACAGGAGCTCGCGCATCTCTGTTTTCCATGGCTGGACGAAGATGCTCAAACTACGGTTCAGACTTTGCAATACTTTGCACAAAAACAAACAAAACCCGGCAAGACGGAGTCTACCCTGAACATCTTTACACCTAATTAGTAGACTACAGTACATACATGGCTCAAGAGGGTTACTTCCGTAGCCTTCCTCGATATGAGAGCCCAAAACACGCAGCTGCAAGCACCTAGCTGCTATACAGGTGGCCACGGGGCTAGGTTCCACTGCAGAATATACCCTCTAAACCCTAAACCCTGTACCAGTGTTTCTGCCCGGCATGCCGGGAGTGTTTTTTCACCAGGTTTTAGTATTGGGCTGGGTGCCGGGAGGGTCCGGGAAAAATAATATTTTAAGATTTAGGGTGGGGTTTAGGGTTTCGGGGGAGGCGATGAAATCAAGCGAACCTGAAGCTTCAAGGGTGGTTAGAAGTAGAGTTAGAAGTGCCCCAAATAAGGTTATGTTCTAGTGAAAGTTACCTTACTGATAGCCCCACTTTGAACATAGGCATGCTGGCTTACAGCGGAGCGGGCTTACAGCGAGCCAAATCTAAGCCAGCTAAAGCCACATTCCCGTATGGGCCAGTTCCCAAACTAGGGGTCCTCCAAAACTCTGCCAAAACGCGAGAATCCTTGTTATTGGTTGTAGGAAGCCCGCAAAGTTTGACCCCTGTTTGAAAACCCTCGTATCACACCCAATATGTTCAGGTTTAGCATTGGCGCCTACGGCAAGAAAAGAAACAAAAGTGAAAAACAGAGTCCTCTGATGAGGATGTTTAGATGGACTTGTTTTACATTTCACTTCACCCGAGGGTGGGCCGAAAACCCGAAAGGCTTGAACCATAGGACGTAGCTGCTACCCCGCCCTCCCCTCCCACCCCCCCCATGGCTACCGGCCTGTGCTGCGGAACTAGTTCAGTGGTGCACACATGACAAGGAAATGTGAGTATTTCTATTGTGTGAACGCAGTGAATGTCTGAGTGGAGAAAGCGCAAAAGCGCCCCTTCCCCCCACTTTTCCCAAGACAAAGTATTAATGTGGTGGAGGCCTTTGAACTACTGGTCTCATGCTGAGGTGGTATACCTTTGCGTTCTTGGCCGTTCTTGCCAGCTGCTGCTTGGAAGTAGAGTTGGGGACATCCCTACAACCCTAAACTCGGTTGAAGCCCCTTTGTTGGCCCTGAGCCACGGGAAAGAAGGTGGCATGGATACTTAGGTCTTATAGGAAACTCTTTTTGAGGTTGACAGGGCTTGAGGTTTGCAGGTCGTAGGATTTAAGCCATTCTTGCAGGGCCCCCAAACACAAAGCCTTCCGCATCTTGTCGCGAGCCGCGTCGTGTTGTAGTTCCGCTTGCCGTTGGTTGGTGTCTGACGAGAGAGTTTCTTGCTTGCTCGGAACCCACCTATATACACCTTTCTGGATACGTCATAACGGAATACTTAAACTACGAGGCGGAGGGCGGGCAAATATTCGTTTAGGGACGGAATTCTTGAGCTGCGCTCGATGACCATGCCGGCTAGATCTTGGCATGCCTCTGCCAAGACGAAGCTCGTTCAACGCAACCTTGCTTTAGACAAGTGCTCCTATTTCTATTGGAAACTGTTGAAGATAAACCCTAAACCCTAAACCTGGTTCTGAATGCGGGCAGTCTTTCACAAGCCAAGCAAGCCCAACCTAAAATTGAAAGAAGTGCCCTTGCCCATTGGAGGTTCCCCAGTGGTACCCTTAGTCCTTCTTCTTGTTTTAGGCTGAGGCAATCCGTTAGTGAGCAAGAAAGGACGCCCTTCTTTTGTTGTGGCTCTTAGTTGAGTGGCTGTCTTAGAATATCGTCATCTAGGACACTAGTTGGACTAATTAGACCTTGTGCTACAGAGGCTCACTAACAGGAACTTGTTAGATCTGCTGACTGCCAAATAGAAAGAAAGGTCATTGTCAGTCAATTGAACAAATTCTGGAAAGCCTGAACCATTAAGGTTTCCAGGGTTTAGGGTGAACTTAGGGTTTAGGGCCTAACCCTTGAAACCGAAATCTTGCAAAGCAGCGCACGACGCAGGTTCTGTAATTACCCTCTCCGCCGTCGGCCTCATGAGCAGCGTCGGCTTCGGCTTCATCATCATGTGCCCTCTCCAAAAAGTTTTGGGTCTAGGGCTTTCGACTTGAAACCGCACCCCGCCCCTTCCCCGCCGGAGGTCTAGAATTTTTTCGGGTTGAGGCTTACCGGGATGCCGACTCCATGTAGTTGCCCCCCCCCCCCCCCCCCCACCCCCTTCGGGGTTTGATTCTTGGAGGTTTTTCCCTACCATGTTCTCTTGGGTGCGCATCTATAAACCGTATAAACCCTGTACATTCCGTGAACCCTGCAAATCCTGAAAAACCCTAATAATTCCTGCAAGCCCTAGAAGCCCTCTAAGCCTTGCAAGTTACTCCATGACCTTTGAAGGTTTCATGGGGTGGGAAGCAGGGCTGATTTACATCTGCACCCATCCTTCCCAGTCCCAGGCCCACTTCTTCCTGTTTCGGGGTTTGAGCCAGGGTGGGGGGGGCCGAGGCTGTTATGGGCAACAGGTTTAGGGTTTAAACGGTTTAGGGTTTAGGGTTTAGGATTTAGGGTGGACCCGAACCCTGAACCCTAAACTATCCCCACAGGTCGAGCAACCTCTACACCGTCGCTGCTATTTCCTGCGTCCTCTGGCAGCAAAGTTCAGTTTGGAGGAGTCAGGTAGAGTTTGGGCCTTCGGGTTTAAGGTCTGCGCGCTCTAGAGCAGTGTCCTTCCAGTTGAAGCTGGATGCCGGTTTTGTTGCAAGGGTTCTGACGTTGATCGCCCCCGGGCAACGGCCACCACGTTCTCTCTTGCTTGAATCCCATTAAGACAACAACCTCAAAATCCTAAACCCTATAAAGCTTACAACTTGCTTGAATCCCATAACAACCCCACAAAATCCTCAGAATCCTAAGCCCTAAACCTTAAACCCTAAAACCCTATATCCACCCTCGGCAGACTTCAAGGCTCAAAGGCACCTTGAGGATCCTTTGAATGAAATGTGACAGCGGTTTAGGGTTTAGGGTTTAGTGTTTAGGGTTTAGGGTTTACGGAGCAAAGGTGCCAGTGTTATTCAAAGGGGATCTCTGAGTAGTTTATAGGGGTTGTGGGGGGACAACGTTGGTGACTGTTTTCTTCATAGTTGTTATTGAGATTTAGGAAGTAGGTGCCTTGCATCCCCCGATAGCACCTGCAGGGACCAAAAATGAGCGAGCTGATTCCCGAACTCCCGGCAGAAGGGCTAAGAACCAGTATGCTTAGGCTCTTGCATCAGTTGGGTTTGGGTTCAGGGTGCATCATTCTTTGGGCATTGGGCCCAGCCTACTGTTCAGGGGTTCATGGGCTAGCTTGGGCCCCATGCACCTCAACCCTAAACCCTGACACTAGTAGCTGCTCAGGGTTTCAGCGTTTATGGTTTAGGGTTTGAGGGAGGGCCCGACCATCACAAGGTTTATAAGTCAGGGCCTATGCGAAGAAAACTCAACGCTGCCGGGGTTTGGTGTAGGCCTTAAGGGCTTCAGGGCTTAGGGTTGAGGCCTTGGGGTTCAGGGCTTAGGGTTTAGGGTTTATGGTTCAGGATTTAGGGTTTACACACCGTGTAAGGCGATGTAACGCGACCTAGGCAGAGCACGGCTCTCAGGTGTTCTTTCTGAGACGCGCTCTTGTGTCCGAAGACTTTGTGCTTGCCTTGGAAAAGCTGCACAACTTCGTTGTGGCCTTCGAAATCGAGTGGGGCCGCTTCTGCTTCAACAAGCAGGTTCTTGGGTTTTTTTTTGCGGTTACCCTACATTCCAAGACCGACATGTCTCCCTGGGGGGACACCCCTAAACCCACCCTAAACCCACCCTAAACCCTAAAAAGGAAACGCACCTTCAGTTGCAGTTGGGTGCCATTGTCTGTTAGGACGCTTCATGTTAGTCGAAGTAGGGTGTAGTGCCGCCAATCTTTCGGTCCTACCTTTTAAGGTTTGTAGGGCCCGGCCAAAGGTGCAGGCTTTGCCGGGCAGATTTGGTGTCCGAACACCGTGTGGACCTGGTTCGCGTTGAGGGTTTGGGGTGGGCGGGGGGCGGGGGGAGAACCTTGCAGCCTTTGTGTAACCGTGCATTTTTTCTCGTTGCCTATCTATATTGTTTATTATTATTCTTATGATGATGATGATGATTATTATGTAGCCTATACATAAATAAATAAATAAATATATATATATATATATGTATATATATATATGTTTATATGTGTTTATTGATGTTTACATCCATACATCAAACTGGTGAGCTGATCACTGTACGTTTCATGCTTTGCTTTGCCATTCGTGTTTCTCCATCTAGGAATCGAGGCTTCCTTGTTGCCTTGGTGAATCATTAGGTTTCCTGCCTGAGGGTCCGTAACTCTTAGGGTTTAGGGTTTAGGGTTTAGGGTTTAGGGCTTTCATTCAGAGTCCAGTACCTAATCGAGCGCTCTACATATCGATAATACGTCTTCTGCAGTGAGCAAATGGACCATGATGTGCGGATTCACGCGTGCATTGAAAGCATTTTGTCTGCGAGCTTCCTCTTTTCTCACCACCGGTCAGGTCAGGGAGTTTAAGTGGTAAGGTAAGCCTATGGGGTTCGTACGGGGCCAACCGGGAGTGCTTTGGGGTTTAGGGGGTGTATGGGGGTGTACGTTGATAGAGCCCCCCGCCCCCCCAACCTGCAAGGACTCCCCCGAGCCCACCCCTGCGCCTATCGGCGCGGTCTCCAGATGATGGGCGAAGGGCGTTGACAGGTTCTCGTCAGTTTTGCAAGCCATGGACCTGTTTCGGACTCCTTGTATTTGGGATACCCCAGAACCCTAAACTTCCGCAACCCTTAGGCCCTGAACACAATATCGTCTCAGGTCAAGTGACAGGGATCGAGTGGCGCATGTATGCCCTCGTTTGGGTTCTCACCGTGTGCCCGGGCAGCCTGCAGGAGGGTCCTTGAAGAGGGTTTAGGGTTTAGGGTTAAGGGTTTAGGGGTTTGGGGTTTAGGGTTTAGGGTTTAGGGTGAGGAGGCCGCCTTCATAGGCCGCCTTCATTTGACTACTGTGTAGGTATACTCTCAACCCTCTCATCCGTCCTTGGCTGAAAAATCTCAAGCTGCCCGCCCGCCTGAAGCCAAGGCCCAAAGCCCACGTGTACAGGTGGCAAGTGTCGGTTACTTCTTTTCGAAGGGAGACGCCTCTTGGGTACTTGTTCTACTTTCTCTTTGCATTCTCACAGGAGGCAATCCCTGAAACCTAAAGTCGTCCATGATCCCAAGTAGCTTCGAAAAGGGCTAAGCTCAGGTGCACCTCCGCTTTAGGCGACCGAAGAAGCCTCTCATGGGGCTTTGAGCAAGAGCCGACCAAACTGCGGGCCGCAGAATTCCGAAACCTAAAGCCCTGAAGCCCTAAATCGAAAACCCGACCCAAAACTTAGACTCAAACACGGAAGGACACCCTTCCCCCGCAAAATAGTAGGCCTTGCAGCTCTTAAACCCTACCTGAAGAACCCAAACCCCAAAAAACACTATAAGGGGTTGCACAGAAATGTCCTACATAAAAGTAGGTTTGGGGCTTTTCGTAAGCCCTAAACCCTAACCTAAACCCTAAACCCTAAACCCTAAACCCCAAACCCTAAACCCTAAATCCTAAACCCTAAACCCGAGAACTTAAAGTTAAAGGTCGGGCTTCGGCGCGGCCATCGGCTTGGAGGAGTGGAAGCTGTCCCAGGAGGCAGGGTACTTGGGGGGAGGGTTTAGGGTTTCGGGTTTAGGGTTTGGGGTTTGGGTTTGGGATTTGGGGTTTGGGGTTTGGGGTTTGGGGTTTGGGGTTTGGGGTTTGGGGTTTAGGGTTTAGGGTTTGGGGTCGACAGATGCACTGTCTGAGGTTCAGGGTTTAAGGAGGTGTCGTGGGTTGTTTTAGCTGCGGTTACAAGTTGGGCTGCTTGACAACTAGGTTCAACAGCGAGTTCTAGCCAGCTGCGTATCTTGCAACTCTAACTAGAGAACCAAATACTCCTTCATTCAGGAAAGAAGCATTGGGCCTTCTGGGAACAACTAGCAGCCCACATTTTATCGTAGCTTTGCATTTTGCCGCGCAGCATAGAGTTCTTGGTTCCCTTATCAAGTCGCCAACCCCAGGAAGGGTACCCTAATTTTAATACGGCTACTGGGCGACCAAGAATCAGAAAGCCCTAAACCTAAGCCTAAACCGTAAACCCTAAACCCTAAACCCTAAACCCTAAACCCTAAACCTGCTTCGTGAGGCGTGGCAGCCGCTCATCGTTTCGGGCGATACGCCCAGCGCTATCATCCGGATTGTCTGTACGGCCCCTTGGCTGCGGAGGGGGAAACTCGGCCCCCAACCCCCAACAATCCAGCTCCACCATACCCTAAGGGTCCAGACACTACGTGGGTAATTAGTTCTCTAGATCAGGGTCCCTTTTTGGGGTCCCTCATGGGATTAGGACTGGTGCCTCTAAGGTTAAACCCTAATGGTTCCCTCCGAATATACTCCTACTACCTTCAGATGTTAAAAACGGGTCCCCAAAGCCCAAGGGCACAACCTTAAGGGTCCGAGGTAAACCCCTAGATCCCGGTATCAACCCGAAGAGTATCGGATATTTTGGTTTACAGGGTTTAGGGTATAGGGTTATCTATACTTGGGGCCCGAAGTCACCGCACAGTGCATTTGCATTCCTTAACGCCGAGAACGTCGATTTTCGAACCTCATAATCAACTCGAAAAGGATTTCTGGTTTAGGGTTTTGGATTTTATATGGCTTAGGGCTTTAGGGTTCGGGGTTCAGGATAAGCCTCTAGATCAAGCCAAGGCATTTAGCTTCATCGCCTTCTGCATGTGCGCGGCCGCGGTGATCCTGGTGGACTATGTTCAATCACACCTCCTCCTGGGCCTAGACAAAAGCTGTCCAGCGGCATTTCTTCTGGGGTTAATTAAATTCGGCGACAAAAGTACCCTAAACCTTCAAACCTAAGCCTTCGGCAACCCTATCAAACCATGGGGCCACATCCTCCCTGGTAGACCCGGACCTCGAAACTCGTCTTTCCGATCGTGGTGGGCGGCGGGGCTCCATACTCAACCTTTGCTTCAGAACAGGTGCCTCACGATCAGAGAATTAGGTTCCTAGTGCTGTTATTGGTGAGTGTACTTAGGGTTCCGTATAAATATTGGCGAGTGTACGTATTGGGTGTCCTTTTGCGGGTGCAATCAAAGTAAACCCTGCTTCATATCTCTTAATCAAGGGGCAGCGGCCTCTTTGCGTAAGCTTTCAAACCGGAAAAATGCAAGTTACTTCGGATTGTAAGCCCTAAATCCTAATGACCCTAAACCGTCCTAAAACGCTGCGCATGCGTTCGGGATGGCTGTCAGGGTTTTGATTGGGAGCACTTTGCGCCAGCGGTACCCTTTTTCGTCGCTCCTGATATTGGGTTGGGCAGGGAGGGGGGCAGGGGGGAGCGGGGGTGGGGGGCGGGGAATGATGTAGAAGGCTTGGGGAAGGTTGCTCTATGGCTAGTCCTCTGCATTATGGTGTTTTTTGGGGTCTATGTAGTAGGTAGTAGGACAGTCTCTCACATCTAGTATGCCGCAATGTAGAGCACTGGCCAGCGAGATCCCAGCGAAGCTTCCTAGGTTCATCGGAAACTTGATAGGACTCCTGAAGCCCTAAACCCTTTAAACCCTAAACCCTAAACCCTAAGCCCTAAACTCTAAACCCTAGACCCTGAACCCTGAACCCTGAACCCTGAACCCTAAACCCTAAACCCTAAACCCTAAACCCTACCAGCAAAGGCCTCGACTGCTGGTGCTGCAGTGTGCTTGATGGTGACTTCAGATCTGCGGTGGAAAGCTGGAACTGCATGCCGCGGAGCTTGCATTGGGGGGTTTAGGGTTTAGGGTTTAGGGTTTAGGGTTTAGGGTTTAGGGTTTAGGGTTTAGGGTGCACCGGCTCTGAGCGTGCCCCCCTCCCCCCTGGGCTGCCGCTCCTACCCCTCCCCAAGGGTTCACGGCTTCAGCGTACTGTTTTGGTGTTGCCGCCCCCTCCCTCCCTGTCGGGTTCCGCCTGTTCAGTATTCAGAGTTTTAATACCCTAAACCCTAAACCCTAAACCCTAAACCCTAAACCCTAAACCCTAAACCCTAAACCCTAAACCCTAAACCCTAAACCCTAAACCCTAAACCCTAAACCCTAAACCCTAAACCCTCGCTCTTCCGGGTTTTTGGATGGTGGGTGCGGGTTGCCACGCGGGTCCGAGGGGGGGGGGGGGGTGCCCAGAGCGGACGCCCATGGTAGCTTTCATACCTGATTGAGTGTTAAGGCAGGTTCCTGACCCCTTTAGAAGGGATTCTCTAAGGCCCTCTAGAATTACCCGAGAGCGTGTATTGCACGGATTTTGGTACCTACTGCCACAAGAGTACTACCACTGGACCCTCAGGGTAGGGCTAATTAAAACAACCTACTAAGATGAAAGCTGAAAGTTGGGGATTGTCCTCAGCCATGGTTTGATACCATGAACATCATCGCTCGTATGGGATCAGATACCCAACAATAAAGCATAAACCCTAAACCCAGAGAACTTCCCACATGTTAACCCTAAACCCTAAAACCTAAACCCTAAACCCTAAACCCTAAACCCAGGCAGGCCTTGCTGAAGGCGGTCGGCCGGGAAATGGCAACTTGCTTGCTTCGAGTATTTGCCTAAAGGCTCCTATGTAGTACCTTTTTGAGTAGCATACTAGAATCCCCCATACCTAAGCATTTAAAGGTGTGGGATTCAGGTGCATGCCGTGTTTTTGTAGTTTATTTTATTGTTCTAAATTGATGTATTTTCTTCTTCTCGTTCTTGCGCTTTATGGGCTCTCACAGGCTCCATATGTTCGCACAGCAAAGTTCAGCCTCTCTGACGGTTCGCAAATTAAATTCAGCACACTGGCCGAAAAACACAGAATTGCTCAGCATTTATGATTGTCTGCAGGCTGCAAATACATGAAGAAATACAGAAAGACCACAAAGAAGCAAAGACAGCAATAAATCATGAAACAAAAGATACAATGAATGAGCGAATCCACAATCAAAGCCTCTGCCCAGAGCCCACAGCCCAGCCCAAACGAACCCATGTTTTTGAACACTTTCCCTAAGCTTCGCAAGCAACAGTTTCCAACCCTTCGCGCCAGCAAGGAATGATCATCTAGTTTTCACCATATGAAACAAGGAACAACACAAAGAACAAACTGATAAACTTGCCTCCGAGCCAATGGCGTAGCTCAGAAGCAAGACCTTTTCAACCCAGAAGCACTGGGCAAGGCACACAAGCACAAAGTTTACTTTTGAAAAGGGGGGGGGGGGTGGCGGAGCAGCAGCAGCAGCAGCAGCAGCAGCAGCAGCAGCAGCAGCAGCAGCAGCAGCAGCAGCAGCAGCAGCAGCAGCAGCAGCAGCAGCAGCAGGAGCAGGAGCAGGAGCAGCAGCAGCAGCAGCAGCAGCAGCAGCAGCAGCAGCAGATGATGATGATCCCCGAACAGTGTTTAGGCTTTAAGGCCTAGTCCTGGAAGTGTAACTGAAAACCCAAACACCCGAAACCCGCGTTGGGCATCTGAGGCTGGCAGTTTCATCGCCGCGCAGGCGGTTGGGGCCATCGGCCACTAGGGCCAATGAGTTGAGGGTTTAGGGTTTAGGGTTTAGGGTCTAGGGTCCAGGGTCTAGGGTCTAGGGTTCAAGGTTCAAGGGTTCACGAGGTCGTCTCCTGGGTTCAGGGTAGTTCAGGATTTAAGATCTGCGATATTGCGACTCCGAATCTGCGGAAACCCTTAAACCCTCAACCCTAAGGGCCTAAGCCCTAAGCGATTTTTTTGTCAAGGAAGGAAGGCTCTCAGATGCCGCAGTCTCCTTGCCTTACGATAGGACTTCAGAGGGAATCAGGGAACGAGGCTTTAGGGTTTAGGGTTTTGGGTTTTGCGTTTTTAGGGTTTTGGGTTTTTAGGGTTTAGGGTTTAGGGTTTAGGGTGTAGGGTTTAGGGTTTAGCGCCCCGATACAACCCTTTGAGGGTAGCAACATTCAGGGCAGGGGGAGTCAGAAAGCCCATGCTGCGCAAATTCGGGCACAGAAAGCGGAGTCAGAAACACGCAAAGCCGCACAGGCACTTCACAAACATTGCAATAAATAACTTTAAATATATTACATTTTGTGAATAACAACAATGCAGGAAGGGCAAAACCCCTGAACCCTAAACCCTTTGGGGAGTTAGGTTTTTTTTTGTGAGTTTTGCTGCGTGTCCCTGTTTTTGTTTGCTCCGGGGATGAAGACTCGTAGCCCTAAAGTTGTACCCCTAAAGGTTCCCCTTAATGTACTCGACAGGTTTTTCCCTTATATTATTCCCCTAGGGATCTTCAAAAAGGGTCCTCAAAACCCAAGGGTACCCCTATAGATTTGCGATGAACCCTAAGCCGTAAACCCTAAAACCCTAAACCCCAAACCCTAAAGATGACCGGGTGCCTTTTACTCTGTGCATCTCGTTCGCCGACTCGAGTAGGCTCCCTTTAAGGGGGAGCCCGAATCCCAAGTTCCCTAAACCCTAAATCCTAAACCCCAAACCCCAAACCCTAAACCCTAAACCCTAAACCATAAGAAACCACGAAGTTTCCGCGTTGCGCTGTGGAGAGCGGGGAGGCGCAGCCAAGTCATCGAGCTATCTGTCCCGTTTCGGGACCATAACAATGTGGCACCCTCTAAATCAGTGTCAGGGATCCTTTTTACTTTTTGGGTTATGGGCTTTCTTATATATAAACAAAAAGGATCCTTTTTTCTTCCTAGGGGAACAGGGATTAAGACAATGTGACACCCTAAAGGCGATTGAGATAGATTTGGGGTTTTGCGTGTCTTTGCAGACAGGCCCTAAACTCAATCGGTTTACGGCTTATAGGTAGGAAACCCTAAACCCTCTAACCCTCTACACCCAGAACCCTTTGGTGACTGAGCTGAGGATTCATCTACTTCTTGGCAAGCACAGCCGCCTTGCCTCGATATTCAGCTTCGGAGCAATTCAGCATTAGGGTTTAGGGTTTTAGGGTTTAAGGTTTAGGTTTAGCAGACCATCCAAAACCCATCCTGTGCATGGATTGCAAGGAGGGACCACTTACCATACTGACGATACTCCTATTTGCTGAAAAAGAACCCCCCCCCAAAAGAATGAACATGTTCTTCCTTCTAACGGTAGTAGGGGATTGTTGCCTTTTGCTTGCTTGGGGGTTCTCAAGCAAATAGTAGTATAGTTAGTGGACTTGTAACCTACCTAAAGTTAGCAAACTTACATCCCACTGTAAAACCCATAAGGCCCATGTGTGGAGGAGATCCTTGAGGGCATGTGGAGTTATCATCCGGAAACTGCACATGATCCCCTTTTTCCCCTACTTCAAGAGCAGCAATCCCCCTGGTTCTTAGTAGGGAATGAGGGAATGAGGGCCCTATATAAGCCCTTAAAGGGTATATATGATTCAGCCCCGGCGGGCCCCCCCCCCTCCCCCCTACCCCCCCCCCCCCCCCCCCCCCCAATGGTACCCCCCCCCCCCCCTGTGGTGTGGTTGGGGGTTGGTTTTAGGGTTTTAGGGTTTAGGGTTTAGGGTTTAGGGTTTAGGGTTTAGGGTAGGGTTTTAGGGTTTTAGGGTTTAGGGTTTAGGGTTTACGGTTTAGGGTTTTAGGGTTTAGGGTTTAGGGTTTAGGGTTTTCCCCGCGGATGGGGTACTAAGATGATCCCCCCCCCCCCTGTGGTGTGGTTGGGGGTTGGTTTTAGGGTTAGGGTTTAGGGTTCAGGGTTTTAGGGTTTAGGGTTTAAGGTTTAAGACTTAAGGTTTAGGGTTTAGGGTTAGGGTTTAGGTTTTAGGGTTTAGGGTTTAGGGTTTAGGGTTTTTAGGGGTTTAGGGTTTAGGGTTTAGGGTTTAGGGTTTAGGGTCTAGGGTTTAGGGACCGTAGAGTAGGCTTGGGGGGGGGGGGGATACCATGGGGGGCGGGGGGGGCCCAGGACGCTCGACGCTGAACCATATATGGGGCCCTCATTCCCTCATTCCCTACTAAGAACCAGCCAGCAATTCCCGCAATCAGCCGTGTGCAGCACGCATTCTTTTGCTTTCATGCAAATGTCCATTTGCCTCCAGTCTCCAAATTCTATTTCCCGACACCTTATAAACCCTAAACCCTAAACCCTAAACCTTATAAACCCTAAACCCTAAAAACCCTAGAAACCCTAACAACCCTAAAAACACTAAACCCTAAACCCTAAACCCTAAACCCTATAAACCCTAAACCCTAAGTTTAGACCCGGAATCCGGTCTCCCAGGCGACCTTGGCCTTCCAGTCCGGCTTTCACCTGCAGTTCACCGCAGTGGAAAGACCCCAGACCTGCAGAGGATGAGTTGGGATTAGGGTTTAGGGTTTAGGGTTTAGGGTTTAGGGTTTAGGGTTTAGGGTTTAGGGTTTAGGGTTCCGCGGCTTCTTGTCTGCCAACTATGATGTTTAGGGTTGAGGGAAGAACTAGCGAGCACTTGGGCGACAGTCTATAAACCATAATCCCCAGGCCTAAACCCGTCATGGCACGATATGAGTTTTTAGGATGAATATGACAAGAATATGGTTTCGGGGTTATATGGCACCAAACCAGCTGCGGTACAGTCAGACCTTCCGGGCTGCAGCATTCTGCCGGAAGCCCTTTGTGCAAGCACTACTGTTGCCCGGCTCATGAAGCCATGCGCCCCGCAAACCTAAACCTCGTTCCCCAAACCCACTATGTTACCCCAATCCTACAGCCCCTGAACCTGAACCAAGAATTATAAAACTCAATCCCCATATCCAACCCTGAAATTTCTGGGGGGGGGGGGGGGGTTGGGATGTGAGGCTCCAAAGGCCCTCCAGGCATTCATTCGGTGGCCTGCGCGTTCAGCTGTCAAGTGTTCAGGCTGTTCTCGGGCTTTGTAGGGTCTAGGGTTAAGCTGTATCAGTGGCGGGTTTGGGGTTTCGAGTTACGGCCCGAGCCATAGATGAAGATCCAGCTTATCAGTAGAACATTTTAAAGATCATAGTATACAAAGGCTCCGATCCTTGAACGTGGTTCCGAGGCTCTCGAATCAAAGAAGTAAGAACCAAACCCACGCAGCCCAGATAAGGCCCAGGAGCCCAGATAGTTATCAATACAGGCCCTTAAACCTCAGACCCTAAACCTTTCAAAGCCTGAACCCTAACCAGCCCCACAAGCCCCGTATATGCATCATAAGAACTAAGCAGAATGATCCGTGTGGAAGTCTTAGCTGGCAAGTACGACTAGTTCAGGGCTTTGTCTCATTCAAGACAGGCTCTCGCTCTGGGCACAACGTGGACCTGGACCATGTCGTCCTAACCCCCACTCTACCCCAAACTTGCCAAAAAAGGTTTAGGGCAGTTTAGGCTTTAGGGTTTAAGGTTGTTGTTCCTTCAAGAAGCAGCAAAAGTATTCATCAATGCTCCAAGGACAGGTTTAGGGTTTAGGGTTTAGGGTTTAGGTTTGTTCAGGGCTTAGGATCTGCCATGCTGAGGTGTGTCCTCTGTACCGCTTCTGCTGCTATTCCTGCTGAACCTGCGTGCCGGGTGCCTCAGGCAAACTCTCTCTCTCTCTCTCTCTCTGTTTCCAATCTTGCAACTTGCTTTTAGGCCCAGAAGTGCCCTTTGAAATGGACGCTACTACTATAACCATCAATGTTGGGGGCGATGGGCAATTGTCGGTTGCTTCAGTCCGGTATGGGTTTAGGGGGTGTTTCTCGATCTAGTGAGCACCTGCTCGGTGGAAGTGATTAAAATGTGGATTCAGGGATGTAGACTGGCAGGATTACCGACCTGTGGCCTCGAGCTACTCCGCTTGCGGCATGGGGTTATCAGCTTAGGGGGTTTATGAGGGTGGCTCCAACTTCATGCCTTGGCGACCCTAGACCCAGAGCCCTGCACCCTAAACCTCAGTTTAGGGCTTAGGGCTTAGGTGGTGGATCCTCTGGTCCCCTCAGCTTGAACCCGACACCCTTGACCCTAAACCCCTGAACCAGCAAACTTCTTAGGTCTGCTGGCATGGTGCAGCACTGACCGAACCTGGGTCGCAAGAGAAAGTGCCCTACACTCAGTATTTCTTTGGCTCATGACGGGAGCAACGTTGCACTTCACCCTAAACCCTAAACCCGAGACCCTGCGATGAGATGTTCAGGGATGTTTGGAGCAAAGTTCGGAGGCTGCGGCCGGCTTCAGAGAGGCTGTTTGTGGGCGGCGTTTTGCCTGTCTTCCTCTGGCGGGTGTAGCGTGTAGGGCTTCGCTATACCTGGAGTAACCTTGGCAGCCACACCTGCAACATTGGCATATCTACCCCTTTTTAATGTTAGGATTAAGATGACTCTTGGGATAGCTTAGAACCTTACAAAGAATTCCGAAGCAACCTCGAGACACATGGTGGTCCAGTAACAGCAGTTAGAGTTTAGGGTTTGGCTTTCGGGTCAGTGACAGGTGTCGATGCTCCAAGGCAAAAGGGGGCTCTGATGCCACGTCCGTGCATCTTTCTCGGGCATTCCCAGGAGAAGTGCCGTGCGATTCCAGCATTCGTAAACCAAATCCCCTCGCCGGACGAAGACCCCATAGCCACTTGGCTGCATGGCGCTTCCAGTTTGCACAGACAGGCTTAAGATGCTGTACCCCAACTGTAGTAGCCTCTAGTAGTAGCCTCTAGTACCTTAAGCATTGGCATTTTTACCCTAATTTAAGGTACGAGGTCATTCAAACCCTAAACTAGACCTTTAGTACGAGAGAGCCCCTGAGTTTGGATTGATATGTCTCTGTGAGAGAGAGAGAGAGAGAGAGAGAGACTCTGTTTGTGTGTGTGTGTGTGTGTGTGTGTGTGTGTGTTTGTGTGTTTGTGTGTTTTTGTGTTTTTGTGGTTTTGTGTTTGTTGCGGGGTTCCTGATGTTTGTGGTTCTTGAGGTTGTCTGCCCTGAAGACCCTGAACCGAACGGGTTTAGGGTTTAGGGTGTCAGAAAGACTGCTGGGACATGCCTGCTACGACAGAAACCGCAGTCAAAACTCGTCAATCATGGTAGCAGAGATTTGGTCTGCAGCGGATGGTCGAGCTGTCTTGTGATCCTCTGGGGCCTAGATACTAAGTATGTAACCTTTAAGCATCTTTGGGTATCAGACGCCCCTTGCATACCCAAAGGCTTTGCCACCGGCTCATTTAGCCTGTAGGGGGTCGCTGCGCACTTGAAACTGCCACTCCCTACAACTTCTACAGCCCAAAAGGCCACGTACAACCAGATGTAACCTCTCAGTCAGAGCGTGTAGTGTAGGGTTGAGGTTCAGGTGATATGTGACCGGGTCCTTGACCCTTGTTGGTTGGGTTGAAGTTTTGCGACAAGTCCACCTGAAGAAGAGCCACATGAAATGCACTCTCCTACAGTCAACTGGCCCCAAGATTCATAATGTTTTTCGGGCCTTGATCGGTCACAAGTCCCTTAACTACATGTTACTATGATAAGGTCGTGGAGCATCGTTAGCTCTACCAACTGTTCTTCTTCTTCTTGCTACAGGGTCTTTAATTAGGTTGTTTCAGGTTTACGTATGACTTGTTGGGGAAACTCTGCAGGACCATGACCGCACATATCTCGTCCGGTTCATCACAGACAGTGCTGCCGGCTTCTCCGTCAAAGACATAACACTCACGCGAGAGCCGCTGGGATGCTGTTAGGTGTTTGTGATACACTTGGGCGGATCTTCCCACAGCCCCAAAGACACCACTAACCGTTGAACACCCATAACTCCAGAACCATCAGCTCCAAGCGCATGCCCTCGAAGAACCCCAGCCGCTGAACCCTGGCTCGGAGCATCCGAGCAGTGATTTCGCAGGGCAGCTAAAGGATGCAGGTTATGACCCCACACACACATCCTTCGCCCCACCACCCCCGCCCCCAACCCACCCGTCCACCCCACTCCCCACCAGCCCCCCCCCCCTCCCCCCACCCTCAACGTGCAACGACACAATACCCAATTCTTTAGCGGCTCTTTGTCATGAGTGCCTAGAATGGCCTTTCTACCCTTAAGGGCAGGGGAAGTCTATTTCAACCACCGGTAAAACCCTAGACCTTGATTTTTTGTTCGAAGGTGCAAGGTTGCCCGAGGTGCATAAGCCATAAACCCTAAACCCTAAACCCTAGACCCTAAACCCTAAACCCTAAACCCTGTTTCAAAGGGAACCCTTGCTTTCGGCTCGGGATTTTAGGCTTGACTGCGGGGATGGTGACCTGGCTACGAGACTTGGAGGTCTGGCCTCGAAATCAAGAGGTTGGGGTTTAGGGTTTCGGGTATTTCTATATATATATATGTATATATATATATATATCATAGAATGTACATATGCATATGTATCTATATATATATATCTCTCTCTCTCTTTCTTGAGGGACATTTCCGCTCCATGTGGCATTAAGTCCGGAACTTGTCGTCTTCATACATGGGGGCGCACCGAGTGAGGCCCCACGTTATGGCTTTCGGATTTTCTGTCAATTTGAAGCCATGAGTCTGCAAGGGGCTCCAAGGCTAAGAACACAATAAGCCCTGAGCCAAGGAAACTCATGAAGAATTTCGTGATGGTCGGCGGAATTCTGTCCGGATTTGTCGGCGTTCTCTCGCGCGTGACGTAGGCGTTGGGCTTGGGGGGTTCCCTGCTGGCTTGCCCGTTTTTCTCCTGCAGCACCTAGAGTAACCTATCTACCCTCAATAACAGGAAACGTGCCTCAACTGTTGGTGCCTTTATGTGCCTTTGTTAAAGAAAGTAAGACGCATTGCAGGCCCCTATTGTGCACACCAAGATGCTTTTGTGTTTGATGTGTTCTTGTTGTGGTGTGAGGGTCATATGATGGCGTCGGGAATACATGACGTGCTCTCGACAGCGTTCTAAGTTCGAGGGTTTAAAAGGATCTAGACGTTGGCAACTCTATAAGCCCACAAAAGGGAAATGCGGCTGATATGCCCAAACTTCCAAGGAGCTTAGTCGTGGCGGAAGGAAAATGAAGGACCTAGGAGCACCCTCCAAAGCTACCTGGGAAGGCTAAGCGGTTAAGCCCAAGGCCTAACGCCAAACACCTTTCACCCGAAGGTGGCCCCCAGTCCTGAATAGAAACACCCTGTCTGCAGGATTCCCTGGAGGCTCCGCGCACCAAGACACGACTACACTTTCGCGTCTCTGTTCGCTGCACCCGAAAGACCCTGTCACAAACATGTTCTCGAGCCTTTAACCCACATGCCCTAAGCTCATGCAGACGTGTTCAGGGTCAAGGGCTGCGAAGCAAGCAATCTCCTGTCTTACGCAGCACGGAAGAACGGCGTGGTAGGGGTTCAAGCCAGAGGACGGGGAGGGAAACAGATGAGTCGACTCTGATGGAGCCTCATTTTTGGTAAATAGCCGGTCCGAGCCACCAGGGCCCTAAAACCATTCATCCCCACATACCCTGCAACCCTGAATCCTGAACCCTACACGGTTGCAAAAAACACCAGCGTTTTTTCCCTAGGCCCTAAACCCTAAACCCTAAACCCTAAACCCTAAACCCTAAACCCTAAACCCTAAACCGACCCTAAACCCCCCTTGCAATGAGTGGGCCTTGCATGCCCACAGCTAGAGCATTTTCCCTAACCGTCATGACTTAAAGAGATGAGGTCTTGTTTTGCGGTTGTCCCCCCCGCTCCCTGAAGCTGCCCGAAGACGCTGCTCTTGACTGCTCCTGGTGCCTCTTCGACTCATGGCTTCTCGCAGTCAGGATGCCCGGTAGGACCCTTATTCCCTTTTTTGGGGGTGTAGGTTCCCTTATAAACCCCTTTAGGCAAAAAAGGGCACCCTTTTTGAGCCTTGGTTACTGGGCAGCCTAGAGCTGCATCTGCTCACATACCTGTGGCAAGCAAGTGGCAAAGCCATTCTGCTTGCGGCGCCATTGCGCCAGCAGTATTTCAGTAGGGCAAGCATGGTATGTTCGTGTGGTTTTTGTTTTTCTTGGGTGAAGGTTTCGGACGAACTGGCCAATTTTGTGTTCACAAGAGATCCAACGAACATGTTTTGCCCTTCTCTGCGAGAAGCCTAAGCACGGAACCGAAGCTGCAGGATTCCTGGAAACAGGTTGAAGTAGGTGAGGAAGTTCTTAAGGCCAAATGAACCCTAAAAGGGGTTTTTGGTTCATATGCCTTATATAATAGGGGCTATAGTAGAGGGTATATGACCCCAATTCTCGGGTTCATGTGTTCCCCAAGGGTAGGAAGTCATCAAGACAGCAGCGCAGGCGCGTGCCTATCTGCACCAATTCGGCATGGGAACGTGTTCAGGTCTTCTGGCATGTGAGACCCCAGAACCTGGCATTTTCGTCCGGGTTCTCTTGGTTTAGGAAAGGCATTCCCAGCAATGCAAGTCAGCAAGCTTCGAACTTCAGGGCTTTCGTTCGTAGTCTAGAATTTTCAATGTCGCCTGAAAACCCCACTGCGCTACGACCTTGAAACAAGCTCCACTAAACCCTAAACCCCAAACCCTAAACTCTAAACCCTAAACCCTAAACCCTAAACCCTAAACCCTAAACCCTAGACCCTAGCCTCCCCTCCCAAAGCCCTGAGCCCGCGGAGGTCATTCTAAGGCTTGGAGTTCCATGTTGAGGGCTTAGGGTTTAGGGTTTGGGGTTCAGGGTTTAGGGTTTAGGGTTTAGGGTTTAGGGTTTAGGGTTTAGGGTTTAGGGTTTAGGGTTTAGAATGGGCTTTAGGGTTGACACGAATTACTGGCTTTTGCTTGTCTAGGGTGTCTAGGCTGTACGAAGTGCAGGGCGCAGGTTTCGGAGTAGGGGGCAAGTCGAAGTCCGAGCGGGGCGGGCATTCAAAGCGTGTGGTTTCCAAGGCTCAGGAGCACCGAACGTGATTGGAGTTTAGGGTTTAGGGTTTAGGGTTTAGGGTTGTTCAGGGCAATAGGTGTTGGTTTTTTTGTGGTTCCAGGGGACATGCCCATATGGCACTGAAGTGTCAGTTTTCTTCCGAGCCTGACCAGCTCTTGACGAAGTTTATTAATGCACGCTCCAAGCCTCCAGTTCACAGAACCATGATGGGCTCTTAGGCCATATAATCCCCATAATCAACCCGATAAAGGGCCTTTTCAAGGTGGGGGTATAATAGCCC